AGTATTCAAGGTAATGAAAAGCAAGGATCTGAAACCAAGACTACTCTATCCAGGAAGGCTATCATTCAAAATAGATGGTGAAATAAGGAGCTTCCCAGACCAAAAAAAATGGCTAAAGGAATTTATCACCACCAAACCAGCATTGCAGGAAATGTTAAAGGGACGGCTGTAATAATAATAAGAAATAGAGAGAAAGAGAAACATAGGCATAAAGAAATAAAATGGCAATAGATAGGTACCTATCAATAATAACCTTAAAATAAATGGATTAAATGCTCCAATCAAAAGACATAGGGCAGCTGAATGGATAAAAAAACAAGACCCAAATATATGCTGTCTACAAGAGACCCACCTCAGAACAAGACTCACACAGGCTGGAAGTAAAAACTTTTGCAGGACTTTAAAGGAGAGATCGACAACAATACAGTCATACTAGGGGGCTTAACACCCAACTGACTTTACTGGGTAGATCTTCCACACAAAAAAATCACCAAGGAAACAGTTACTCTAAATGACACACTAGATCAGATGGATTTAATTGACATTTACAGAACATTCCACTCCAAAGCTACAGAATATACATTCTCCTCAGGTGCACATGGGACATTCTCAAAGATAGACCACATGTTAGGACACAAAACAAGTCTCTACAAGTTCAAGAAGATTGAAATCAAATCAAGTATCTTCTCGGACTTTTACACCATGGAATACTATGCTGCTATAAAGAAGGATCCCTTACCCTTTGAGACAGCATGGTGGGACCTGGAGAGTATTATGCTAAGCGAAATAAATCAGTCAGGGAAAGACAAGTGTCACATGATCTTACTCATATGTGGAATCTAATGGACAAAATAAACTGATGAACAAAACAGATCCAGAGACACAGAAGCATGGAACAGACTGAGGGACCTCAGAGGGCAGGTGGGAGTGAGGGAGTGGGTGGGGGGAGATTAATCAAAGAATTTATATGCACACATGCATAACCCATGGACACAGACAATAGTGGGTTGTAGGCCTGGGGAGGGGGGTACAGGGTGGAGGGAATCAGTGGGGAAAAAGGGGGACATTTGTAATACTTTCAGCAATAAAGATAAATTTTTTAAAAAATCTATTCCTGGTATATTAAAGTTCTAAATGTTAAAGGTAAAGCAATAAACATTTTTTGGAATAATGTAGGAGAACATCTTCATGATCTTGAGATAGAAAATGATTCCTTAAACAAGACACCAAAAGCACTAGCCTAACAGGAAAAGATAAATTGAATTAAGTAGAAGTTAAGAACTGTTTATTCAAAGATACCATGAAGATTGAAAAGTGAACCACAGAATGGGAGAGATATTTGTACCAATATACCCAACAAATTATTTAATCTGTAACATATATACTCCTACAAATCTGTAAGGGAACAATGAGATTGATCAACATTATTGGTAATTAATGAAGGGAAAATTGAAATTAAAATGAGTTACACACCAACTCATACAGACTAAAATGAAAAGTCTGACAATATCATGTGCTAGTACAGAGGTAGGTAATGGGAAATGCTGGTGGGAGTGCAATGTACAACCATTTGGAAAACAGTTTGGCATTTTCTGGTAAATGCTCCAGGAACTTATACATCTATGCACCAGGAGACCTGTGTATAAAAATGTTCAATGCAGTATAGTTCATAATAGCCCCAAACTGGAAACAAAGGCCGGAGACAAGCTTGGAGACAAAGACAATGGGAAAGTAGCTTCCTTGGATCCTGATGGCTTTTTAGTTCTGGTTCCAGTCTCTGATGAGGCCGAACTGCCCTTTGTACTCTTTTAATAAATTTCCTATTTTGCTTAAGCTACTTTAAGCAGCTTTTCTGTTTCTTGCAATCAGTAGAGCCTTGCTTAGGAAAAAAAATGTCAAAAGGGAACTTAACCAATTACAAGAGACTTCAGATATATGTCAGTTGATGTGAAGACCATATTTGAGCCCCAATGTAAACACAAAGATTGTAAAAGAAAGTGCAACATATAATAGTAAATGATTTTTTTTTAAAGATCACCCCAAACCCACTATACTTCTGGCTCAAGGTCTCTCGTGAGGTTCCAGTGAAGGTGTCAGTCATCTCAAGGCTCTACTGAGGCTGGAGGATCAGTTTCCACCCATGGGCTTGCTGGCCGGCCTGGTTTCCTTGCCGGGTGGCCTCTCCATGGGCTGCTTGAGTGTCCTCACAACATGGCAGCTGGCAGGTCCAATTGCATATGTGGGACCCAATGCAAAATGAAAAGTGCAGAGCCCCCAGTTCAAAAATTATTCAGAATTTCAAGATGGTCAGAGTAGAGCATGAAGCCAAGTTTGGAGGCTTCTAAGCCAAGGACTCTATGTGATTTCCTCGGTCACACACCCTTGAAGCCAACTCTGGTGGCTGGTGACCTGAATGAGAGAGCAGCCAAGACGGGAGCCACAGTCTTCCGGCAACCTGATCTCAAAGTGATATCCTATCACTTTTGTTGAATTCCACTTATTGGAAGCAACTCATAAGGCCCATCCCACACTTCAGGGGTGGGGATGGCACAAGGGCTTGAACACCAAGTAGCCGCTGCAGATCATCCGAGAGGCCCTCTGCCACAACTACGCCTGTGAGATAAGCAGGGAACCTGAGCACGGACTGGATATCTGATAATGTTAAAGGGCCATTCTTTCTTAAGTGTGATGTAGTTAAATTAAAAGAGGGTCTTCTTTTAAAGATACATACTGAGATAGCTACTGATAAAATGATTCACGTCTTTGGATTTGTTTCAAAATAACATGGATGGGAGAGGAGTGGGGGCACAGGTGAAACAGGACTGGCCGTCAACTGACCATTGTTGAAGCAGGTGATGGATACATGGGGGTTCGTTATACTCTCTATATTTTTTTAAATATATTTTTTACTGATTTCAGAGAGAAAAAGGGAGGGGGAGAGGGAGAG